TTAAGTATGGCAGAATGATCGTCTTTTTATCCGTTTCTGACGGTTGTTCATGCGTCGGTCGATTTACTGATGTTAAACAACGTAGAATGAAATTTCTAGGATACCCATTCCGTGGAAACATTTCGAATAGATGATCTTCCTCCGCTTTCCTCAGCTGCGGAGTGCTGCAATGAGTCTGCGATCTTTTAAATAGAGTTTTATGCAGCTGCGCTTGTAGACTGTTGGATGGTTGCTGCGATAATTCAGGATTTGATCTGTGTGTGTCGCTTTCCGATAAACTGTTGTCTCTAGTTGTCCAGCAGCGTGTCTTTTTACTAACACATTCAAGAATGGTAGCTGACCATTGTTCTCCTCTTCTTTAGTGAAACGGATACCAGTAAACGCGTTGTTTATTAACTGATGTTTCTTCCAGTTTCGAGCGCTTTAGGATGACAAAAGTATCGTCCACGTAGCGTAGCCAGATTTTAGGTTTTGCGACCGGGAGTGCGGTTTCCTCCAATGCTTGCATCACCGCTTCGGCCAAGAGTCCAGATATTGGTGAACCCATTGGCGTGCCTGTTATTTGTTCGTAGGTTTGGCAGTTGAAACTGAAGTGTGTCGTGAGGCATAAATCCAACAACTCCATCATGTGGATGACATCCGTTTTATTGTTAGCGTCTGAGAATCCGTGTTGGTCTAGTAGTGTTGCCATCGTTTGCTTCGCCAGCTTGGTGTTGGTTGAAGTGAATAAAGCTGTTACGTCAGAGGAAACCATGATTTCGTCTTTTTCTATTACTGTATGTATTAACGATTGTATGAAGAATTTGCTTATCTAACCCAGCACAAGTTAATTTTGCTAGAGCTTTGAAGCTTGTGCAGGAGAACGTGGTCGTCCTTGAATTCAAACCCTTTAGACAGGTCCGGGTCCATGACGTCGACGGCCACTCTGGCATCGACTAACTCCGTCCAGCTTGCTTCGGCTTGCAACAATTTAGTATTGCAGGACCCGTTTCGGGGAAATCTTTGCTGCTTTGACACTATGGTTCTGTTTCTCCAAAGGTATCATATAAGCAGCTCTGCTACAATACTTTCCATTATATTTGAGAAGGTTAGGAGGAGAGTGATTTGACAGCAGTTCGATGGCTATGCACGATTCCCACTCTTGTAAATAGTGCGGATTATTTCATCTTTCTAGATTGTATAACCTTGCATTTAATCAAGACATCGTTGAAATAACTGCGCCAACGGTTCTGCTATATTCCTAGCGGCTGTCTTTAACGTCTTTGTCTTTATGTCTACCACATAATGAGAGCTGTGCATATGCAAGGACATTCGTGTTTTCACCAAATTCGCTGCGTGAACGTATCGTAACTTAAACCTGGATGCAGTGGTAGCTGTGTCAAAAAAGATTGAGATGACGATTCTTTCTATAAAATGAGGATAAAGTTTGCCGAAGTGCATTGGGAGCGACTTGCGTAGCTAAAGCAGGACCTTCTGCTGCACGAAGAACGTGGACTCCGCGCTTCACGCTGCGGAGCGCTGCGTTGTGACTTTGGTAATGGTGTCGACTATTAGTTTCTCGTTGGTGAGAACTATGTCTAAGGCAGATGGTTCGGCAGCCGATCTGAGTCGTGTGGCAGAGAAACATGGCGGAATACTGATACACAGGCTACTTATTCTTACAAGTTAGCTTTCAGTTGTTCGCTGAGAGAAGCAAAGAGTTCAGTTGAGTGATTGTTAAACTTCTCCACTAAATGGCTATGTCTGCATGGTCGTACCAGAATTCGCCCAACGCCAGACACTAGACAGTGCTCCATTTCCAGGGTGCATATTGGATGGAGGTAAACTACTGCTAGTAAAAGCACATGACAATTACTCGGGTACAGTCGGCATCAAACTGAATCGGCAACTTATGCATCCGTATCGTCCATGGTAGCAATATACATGTCAGATCTGTAATAGAGGAGCACTCCGCCTCCTCTGCTTGGTCGATTGTCTTGTAAGACAATCCTGTCAAGCAGGGCTCTCAGCATACGTGATCTCAGTATTCATCCATGTTTGGCTTACCATGATTATGTCACAAGGAATGAATCCCTGACGAATTCGAAGCTCGCTTAACTTTCTAAGAAGAATTTGTGCGTTAATATACAGACAACTGAGGGTCACTGCGACTAGAAAGGTGTTTTCGGATGCGGATTTCGGATGAGGGTTTATACCGAGAATAGTTTGGTCGACTTTGAGGCGTACGTTTGTTGGACCGTCGACAAAGATCCACCGGCCATTTCGGGTTGGTGTGAAGATTGCTCAGTGTCAGTAGGTGTCTGATAAACTGGTACTCTTTCGGCCGTCGAAGTGTTTTGACAATGTCTCGGTTTTGTCCTGCCTATAGACGGGATTGCATATGCAACCGTCGAGTTCACTGCTATTACTTACATGTTGACGTGTCCATTACCTTCAAGAGTATTTTGGATGGCAACATTTTACTCATTGGATATCATCTGTTGAGCACCTATTCTGACATCCGTTTGAATTGCAACGTTACTTTCGTCACTGTGGGAACATCCCTCCTATAGTTTGGTAATAACGGTAACATTGATGTGGAATTTGCGATCAAGCTATCGAATGTGAGTACTTCATGGATGAAACGCCATTTAACCATGTCATACGCTTTGGTCCCTAACACGCTTAAACTCTGAAGTTCTGAGACACCGTGAACAAAGTTTGAATTTACCTTATTTTGTTTACTGAATTCTTCCCGATTTCTTCGGCGGTTCTGA